GACTTCTTTGTCCATATCGTTTGCATTATAAAGCAAAGTTACTTCTTGTCAATATTTTGAAGGTGATTTCTTCTGTTTGTTTATAACTGTCTCTTTTATGCAGTTTTTTTCATCTCAACAAAATGTTCAGGACGTTTTCATAAAAAAAAAAGTTAGTTCATTTGCATATTTGCTTATTGCTGCTATTGGTCATATCTTTTCTGGCCACTTCTGATGACTTGGATGGAGTGAACGGCAGTGCAGTCCTCAACTTTATCCCTATATATATTTATATGAATCATCTAACCTAAAACTCTGAACCTGAGTTGTGCTTCTTTGATGCTCTGCCTGATGAGGATAAGCTGTCATCAATTAAATACGGAAAGGAAGTATAGGTGGATTTAAGAACTGTTTTCATCCCGTGCTTGACCTGTAATCAATAATAGTTTGCAGCTTTTGATTGGGAGAAGCAGTAAAATGTATTGTTATTTATACTAACAAGATGCAGTCCTAAGATATATATATATATATTTTTTTGAGATAAAAATGAGTAGTAATAGTAAAAAGAGCGATGAGGTTCGCTGGGCGTACCCATGTACAATAAAAAGTATTTACAGATCAGTAATTATATCTACAATGTGACCAACATCATCAAAAGAGTTAAGGTTGCGATCAAGATCATCCTAAGATATTTACAGAGCAGTCCTAAGATATTTTTATGAGAATAATTAGATATCTGGGAAAATAATTAGATTGGCATTCTTTTCTTCAGGTTTGGTGCAGCTATATGATTTAAGTTGGTGGAGTTCCAAGAATTTTGGTTTTTCGTCGGTAATAAATATGACATACAAACCCCTTTCTATGTCTTTGCTCAATCACTTCAAATTTTCGTGCCTTTTTTATCCAAATCTGACTTATTCAATGCTAGAATTTATCAGCTTCTTATAGTTTTCAAGCACTGCTTTAATATTTTAATTTCTACAAATTTTTAGGGCGGGATTATTTACTCCAACAAGGTTGTGATGTTGACATCCATGCATTCTAAAGGAATGATAATTCGTAGTTTTGCGCATGGACTAGAGTCCACCTTAGCCATTCACAAGTAAAACTACTAAAATCTTCTATATTTTCTTTAGTCCTTCTCCTCTTCTCCTGTCGATAGGAATAAATTAGAATGACAGGTTGATTTGGTTGATTGATTACCTTCTTTTTGCTCTTCCAAAATTTGACTGCAGACAAAAGTTAGTTATTGCTCCCTTTGGATTTGACAACTCAACATGGGATCCTTCCAAAGATAAATTTCTTCCAGAAAATTATAGCGCAGAAGACATGAAAGGGAAATCTGTATGCAAAGTTGCATTACAAAAGTGGCTGGGATTAGCTCAGAATGCTTCTACTATTATTGTATGCGTTTCTCATAAAATCTTTTTGAACTCATTTTTGTGCATGCCAAGTGATCTACATGAGTGGAATATTCCGAAGCATTCAATTGTGAAAATATTTTAACTGAGCCAAAGTAATCTTATTGGGTGCAAACAGAACTAAACTGACTAATTCAGTTGAGTTTAAACACCAAAAAAAAACATCCTTGGTTTGATCCCTATTAAATTGTTAGCCTTATGGCTGGTTGTTTTGTTAAATATAACAGGCTAAAGCTAGCACAGATGCTTTAATGTTCACATAACTGGTTTTACTTTTAACTGATAAATATGTATTGGCAGTTTCTATTTCCCTTCTAGTCATGCTAGATCTGCTAAGGCAGACGACCAGACAAATAAATTATCAACTTGAACTTGGCTCGATCCGACAGATCATCAAATCACCTGGTCGACTTTGCATGCTGCATATATTTTTCTTCTGAAAAGAGAAGGCTGACAAAATGCATGAAGATAATATTATTATGTTTGATTTTCAAAAAATTATTTGATAGCCTGAACTTTTTATGTGGAATTGAAATGGTACTTTTTAAGGTTGGATTCATCTTCTCAGAAGTATCAGATGTTGATCTGGAGAACTTGAAGGCAATTGTTCGGGATACCACTGGAAGGAGTGTCCAGGTTTATACTTTTCTATAAGCACATGGCATGGAGACTAGATTTACTGGAAAATCCTGCTGATTGATACAATAAAGGAGCTCATAGAGTAACAAGAAGAATAACATTTAATTATTCTTGTTGTATCAGTCAGTAAATTCCGTGTGTAAAATTTTGGTTTTCTTTGTTCTTTTCTCTAACTGAGTTTCTCCAAAAACAAAATTCTATAGTTCATCTTCATGGGTATCAGCAAAATGCCAGACGTAACCAAGCCATTGGATTCTGTCCAGGAGGACTTCAAGGTATTAGGGCACATGAATTTTACTTATTATTCATGCATCAAAGAAATTCTCATCAATTTGGAACCTCAATCTTTGTCAGGTTATGGATTAATTGAGATTATCGGAGATTGTTTGTTTCCTGAAGCTTTTTGCAGTTATATCTATTTTATTTTTACTTTTTGCCTCTTCCTTCCTCTTCTATTTGTTCTGAGTCTAACTTGTTTTGCTCCTACAGGATGGAAATATATTCATATTTAACTATGATGAAGCTCTATCACATTGATTTTGGCAGGATCTGATATTCTCTTGTGCAGATCCTTTCATGATCCTATCTTCCAAGCTCCGGTATGTAAAACATGATATATAGAGAATTAAAATTCATTGGCTTGCATACGAGTCACTATTGGCACTCTTTTCTTGGTTTCTCGAACAATGGTATTGCATACCCATCACTTCCAGCTCCATGCATTGTTGTTGAATGATTACATGCAAATATACGTTGGCTACACAGACATGTGTCGTTATTTGTTAGAGCAAGGGTTCTAATCCTTGTCATAAGATTCTAATTCTTTTCTGTTTCTATAACCACTGTTCCCAATCTCTCTGTCCACGTCTTCAACTTACATCAGATAATTTCTTGACCCATGCTGTTATTAGGTTTCTTTGGATCTAATCTAATTATCCTAGACCATTATGTTGCAGAATTATTTGATGGCTTACAAATCTCTTTCCCGGTACTCCACCAATCATATTTTAACTGTATACTCTCAGTTGGTAAAAAGATATGTCATTCCCCTATCTGAAAATTCTGTGTACTGGAAAATGCAGCTCAAGGCTTTAAAATGCGGAGCTGCTCCAGTGGTAGCTGTTATTTGGTTTCTTTGCACCTAGTCTAATTATTCTAGAATGTTATGTTGCAGAATTATTTGATGGCTTACAACTCTTCCCCACCCCCTTCCCCCCACCAACTCCGCCAGTCATATTTTAATGGGATACTACCAGTTGGTAGATATATCATTCCCTTATCTGAAAATTCTGTGTACTGGAAAATGCAGCTCAAGGCTTTGAAATACGGAGCTGTTCCAGTGGTAGTTGCTCAAAGTGATGAAATTTTCAGGTAACCATGTATGGCAGAAATTTCCAACTGGATACTCTATTTGTATATGTATATTGTTTTCATTCTGAAAGAGAATGATTGTACCAAATCTTAACAGGCATTTCGTAGACCATGACCAAGAGACTACCAGATTCCCACAGTTTATGTGCAGTGCCTTCGGAAATTTGTCCCTAAGCCAGGCCATAGATCAAATAGTAAGTATTTAAAACATCGTGGTTCATGAATCTTCCTCTTTCATTCCTCAACTTGATGGCCAGAGTTAAATAATATAATCTGGAAGTATTTTTATTTGGTAATAGAAAATGAAATTGTTAAATCATATCCATTATGTAGGAGAACAACCCGTCTACATGGACGCGGAAGGTAACAGATGCTATGGCAAAAGATTTCTCATGGGATGCAGAATGCTCTGATATTCATGTTTCTGCATATACATTCATTAAAGGTCTGTGAGCTATATGTCATCTACATGTACATATGTTTGTACAAATACAAATTTTTCTTGTTAGCATTTTTGCCGATGTGCAAATCAATGCATATGACGATGCCCATGTATGAGGGCTGACGGAGTGTTGCAAGTATAGGAAGCTCATTCAGCCTGCATTCTCTCAACTGGGGAGGAATAGAGTTGATGAGTAAGGGGATCAAAATTAGATGGTCCTTGCTAAAGCTTTTAACCTTAAGCTAAAAGTCTGGGATGTGCTTAAAATTAACTGGAGGCTATAAACTACTGACATGTAAATTATTTGTATAATGACCCTAATTCTTCCACTTTCTATTCTTTAATAAGATGTCTGTCCTTCATTTCTACAGTTTATAATAATAAGAGTAATTATTACTATTGCTATTATTTGGTAAATGACAGTTCATGATATTATTGTATATATAATTTTGTATGCAAATAATAATTGCAAATTAACTGAAAATAATTAAATTAAATGATAGTAGATGGTAGATAGGGAAGCAAACTCTTGTTCCACCACAAAAGGAACTGTTTTCTATGGCCTGTTTGAGAGTAAACTGAAGTGATCTCCCTCGGAGCTGAACCCGACGACACCCCCTCCCACTGCGATGCTTGCAAGCGAGATGTCACTGGCTTGCTCTACCACTGAAACTCCTGTGCCTTCGATCTCCATCCCTGTTGCGCCAAGCTCCCAATGGTGCTCGACGACGGCGACTTCAACCTGTACTTGTTTAGAAAAGTGAGCTCCGTGTGTCGCTAGTGCAGCTGCAAAGGGAGATGTTGTTTGGACATCTGGCATGATTTGTATTTTGGGAGATATAAGGGGAAGGGGGAAACAAAAAAGGCAGAGGAGGAGGTGGTGCCTGTCTTCTTCAGTGAAGAAGAAGAAGAAGAAGAAGAAGAAGAAGAAGAAGAATTAAAATTAATCCAGCCGTGCACTAATTTAATTAATTAATTAAAATTAATTTATTAATATTGTTATTTAAAAATGCTGACGTGGGCAATGATGTATCGTACACGTCAGCAAATTTAAAACGAAAGTATTTAATTAAATTTGCAGTATATTTAATTAAATTAAATTTCATAAAACTTACTTATACATAATATTTATAAACAAAATAAAAAAAGGCAACTATAGATTATGAGATGATTCTAATTGATCAATTAAATTATGTTGAAATATTATTATATTTTTTTTTAATTATAAAAGGAATAAACTAACTAATGTTAATTGTTTTATTAAGTAACGAACTGTAATCTTAATGGTTATTAGTTTTTGATTAAATTAGAGATCTCAGTTTATATTATATTGTTTGAAAAAATTAAGAAGAATTTTATCCTTATTTTCTTAATTATTTATATAAGTAAAAAAATCAAACTAAACCAATAAATTAATATTGAAAAAACAGCAGAAAGTATAATAAAAATATCCAAAAAAAGTGACAGACAGTTCATTATATACGCCTCAAAATACTTTTAATGCTTTATTTAATTAAAATAATATTGTCAATTCAAAAAAAATGTTTTTAGAAAATTAACAAATTTAAAAAAAGTAGAAAAAAAAAAAATTCCAGCTGTACCTGTGTTGTCAGTTATGGACATTCGGCCAACTAATAAATGACACAAATATCTTTTTTATTTTAAAAAAAGGAAGAACAAATTTAGAATAAATAATTTTCTAACGCCCGTACATTTTTCTTTTTAAAGTAATTTATTAGTAAATGATAATGATAATTGTTATCTGGAGAGGATTTGGGATAAACATAAATTTCGTCTGTAACACAGGAATCGGCAGTCTTCAAAATCAAACTCCATTAAAATCATGAAGAAGAAGAGGAAGATACCAAAGAGAAGAGAATATCCCTTTCAAAAGTGAAAAATAGAGAGAGACAGGCTATGTGTCTGTGCGGTCAGTGGACTTGTCGTTGCGTAACGGAGCAGAGGCAGTCAATTATCAATTATTAGTTTATTTTATAATTACTATTTAAAAGAGAAAAGCTTAATTACGTTAATGGCAGAGGAGCGAGAGAAACAACAGCAACAGCCTGCTCCAAAAGAATTCATTTCGCAACCACCACCACCTCCACTTCCTCCTCCGCCAGCTGGTTCCCTGATAGAGCGGAGTCCGATGGCTAATTCGGCGGCGTCAGGGCCTTCGTGGCTTACTCCTAAAGTGTGGGTTTTAATTTCTTCTTCTTTTAATTGTCAAAATTGATTTGATTTGGTTACTGCGTGGAGGTTAGTTATGATGGATTCTGTAGATTTTGGGAGTCTGGAACATCATTTCTTTGTTGCTTCAACGTTTAAAATTGTAGTTTCTGTTTGGTACTTGCGTGGAGACACCGAGAAAATATAGAATCGTGGTTACAATTTTTTCTTTTCTTTTCCGTTTTTGTAATTTTTATCAAATTGAGTGGAGAAGGAATCAAAATTTTCCTTAGGAGTGGATTCCTAGGTTCTTTGAAGGTCTCTGTGTCGATTTTGGTCATGACAATAGATCATGTAGAGTTGCTAAAGTTTGGCCATGCCAATTGCGTTGTTTTTATTTATTTATCTATTTATTTTCTATTTTTCAGGTTACTCGTCATCTTTTGCGTGATTAACATGATAAATTATGTGGATCGAGGAGCCATGGCAAGTAATGGTGTGAACGGGCATAGGAGGACTTGTGATGATAAGGGGAAATGCACTCCGGGTACCGGAATTCAGTAAGATTTGCTGGTTTTCATTTGATTGCAAAGTAAAATCTTTACTTATAAGGAATCTTGAATTTATATCACTTGCAGATGACTGGATGGTCCTATCTGAGACATTCATTCTTAATAGATTCTCTTACGGCATTTGACATTTTTCATGATTGCAATTTGAGTATTCTTCCAAGCATGTACATCTGGTCCAAGGTTAGGAAATGTAGCATGGGAAGTAGAAATCACAAAGGGATGTAGCGGGAATCATAGTAATATTTCCAGGATTCGTGACATGATTATTCATGTCAAATAAATTGATGTCTGGATTTCCCTCGAAAAAAAAAATGATGCCTGGATATTGTAATTAGTTATTCATAAAGTTTACTGTTTGTGTTGTCTGTGTACTGCTCAGGAAGGGCATCAGTTCTCTTAATCAGAAATGTTCGTACTTTGCATGTGTATATTCACATGCAGATATTGTGCATATCTGCATTAGCATCAGTAAAGAGATAACTGAAATTTATATCTTGAAAGTGATTTAACAGCCTAATTACTGTTACATAGGTTGCAAAATAAGTTATCAAATTTCCCATTATATTCCTCTTCTAATTACTTAACCATAAAATATTGCTTACAGGGGAGATTTTAACTTGAACAACTTTGAAGATGGTGTCTTGTCATCTGCTTTTATGGTTGGACTTCTTGTGGCTTCGCCAATATTTGCTTCATTAGCAAAGAGGTGAATACCATCGATTTAGCTTGAGTAGCTCTATATTTAACTCAGTATTTTTTAGTACTGTTGTCATTACATACTATATTATTACTTGTTTGAGTGGAATGTCGTGGCTCTTTAAATGCAAGAGGTTTTTTAAGCATAAAAATTAGTGCCAATAACGTCTCTAGAACTATCTCATATGATCTTGTTTTTATTGCTGGGAAAAACTGCCAGGACGCAGTCTCATTTTTTGGGATGTGTGATGCTTTCTTAACAACTAATATATTTTTCTGTAGCATTCTCCTCAATACTTAGCAATAAGTTTGTGTTTATGTTAACATAAAAAAATCAAATGTTTTTGTTCTTAACATCCCATTTACTCTAATTCTTGAACAGACGTTCTATGGTAAAGATATCAATTATATAATATAAATTCTCATATAAAAAATATTAGACAAGATCAGAAAAAGCTTTATATGTACAGGAATTCATTAAATCTACCTTAGGAGTGGAGGTGAAAAAGTATCTAAGTTACTGATTTCTTTCTATTCTCTTTCTCCTATATTCTTTCTTTTCAATGCTGTACGCACTAGGATTCTATCAGTCATGAGGATCTATTTCTTTTTGCTTTGTTTTCAAACAAGTTAAGGAGAAAAATATTCCTTTTGTTGATCCGTTGAAACCCAGCCAGAGCCAGAAATTTAGGTATTGGATTTTCAGCATTGGCACCTTTCTTTGCAGAATTGGTCCTTTAATGGTAATGAACCATGGTAATTTGCTCAAGTAAAATATCAAATGATAAAAGAATAAGACAGAAACGCAAATAAGATAGGAGAGGGAGAAGAAGAGAGAGGGGGATGAAACAGTGGAGGAAAGAAAAGATAAATTAGATGCATCTTTCTTAATGGATTGCATGAAATGCATATGAATTACTGCTTTGAAAAGAAGAATCTTTAAGAAGCTGAATTTTAAAGTTGAATCTTCAAGAAACTGAATCAGTGCATTCAAAGCTGAACCTTAAAGTATGTATAGTTTTGAGGTATTACACTATGCAGTACTGGTTTTTAATAAAGAAAGGATGAGAGACAATCCACTTTGAATACTTGGAGCTGTTCTTTATTCTGTGTATGTTGGAGGTATTCTGTTGGCTTGGTGTAGAGGTTCTAATATGTAATTGCTCTTCCAGCCACAATCCTTTTAGGCTTATTGGAGTTGGATTATCTGTTTGGACTTTAGCTGCAGCTGGATGTGGTGCTTCATTTGACTTCTGGTCTATTGCTATATGCCGCATGTAAGTGTTTGTCAGTGCTTTCAAGGTGTTTACTTTTGTTAATTCACTATTTCATTGTGCTGAGTGTTCGGTTATCGTATGACTTTCTCCTTGTAGGTTTGTTGGTGTTGGT